ACCTTTGTAACTTGCCATGACTGTGACCAGATCTACCTGGAGTTCATTACCTTTGTAACTAGTTTAGCTGTCATACCTTTGGGGTCCAGTTCCTGGACCCATTATGTACCTCTGTAATCTTTTGACTACCGCCCACAGGATGGGTATGGGGTGCATAATAAAGATATTAAACTTAACTCCCTATCGTGGGAGTGTCACAAACCAATGTCTGCCATGGAAGCAGGTACAAGTACCTCCCTATCTTCTGGGACTAGCTGTCCCCAGGCCTAGCTTCATTCCCCGCCCCCACGGGTCTCGGAGGGAGAAGCTGGGCACCTTGGGCTGCCACAAACCCCGCCCACACTGGGCTCGAAGGGTGTGGCAGCTGCATAGAAACAAACGATGTCAAGAGGTTTGGGGTCCAGTCCCTGGACCCATTATGTACCTCTGTAATCTGTTGACTACCCACAGGATGGGTATGGAGTACATAATAAAGATATTAAACTAACTGTGCGTGTTGCTGCTACTTCTACTTCACTTGTCCGTTGCACTCTGAGTCCATCAATCTTCTCACTCCTGCCCTAATGTAAAAAAAAAAAAATAATTTCTAGTGATGGAATTTCAAGGCTAAGTTGCGAAACTTAACCAAACATAACCTATCCTAACATTAGCAAAACATAACCTAACCTAACATTAGCTAAACATAACCTATCCTAACATTAGCTAAACATAACCTAACCTAACATTAGCTAAACAACCTATCCTAACATTAGCTAAACATAACCTAACCTAACATTAGCTAAACATAACCTATCCTAACATTAGCTAAACATAACCTATCCTAACATTAGCTAAACATAACCTAACCTAACATTAGCTAAACATAACCTAACCTAACATTAGCTAAACATAACCTATCCTAACATTAGCTAAACATAACCTATCCTAACATTAGCTAAACATAACCTAACCTAACATTAGCTAAACATAACCTATCCTAACATTAGCTAAACATAACCTAATCTAACATTAGCTAAACATAACATAACCTAACGTTAGCTGAACCTAACCTAACCTAACATTAGCTAAACCTAACCTAACCTAACATTAGCTAAACATATCCTAATCTAACATTAGCTAAACATAACCTAACCTAACATTAGCTAAACATATCCTAATCTAACATTAGCTAAACATAACATAACCTAACGTTAGCTGAACCTAACCTAACCTAACATTAGCTAAACCTAACCTAACCTAACATTAGCTAAACATATCCTAATCTAATATTAGCTAAACATAACCTAACCTAACCTAACATTAGCTAAACCTAACCTAACCTAACATTAGCTAAACCTAACCTAACCTAACATTAGCTAAACATAACCTAACCTAACATTAGCTAAACATAACCTAACCTAACATTAGCTAAACATAACCTAACCTAACATTAGCTAAACATAACCTAACCTAACATTAGCTAAACATAACCTAACCTAACATTAGCTAAACATAACCTAACCTAACATTAGCTAAACATAACCTAACCTAACATTAGCTAAACAAAATAACATTAGCTAAACATAACTAAACCCAACGTAATCTAACCTAACGTAACCTAAAAAAACTTAACCTAACCTAGGTGATTAAACCACTTGTCGGTATCTATTACCAAGGTTTTCACTAACTTTGTACCTGGAGTTTACCTGGAGAGAGTTCCGGGGATCAACGCCCCCGCGGCCCGGTCTGTGACCAGGCCTCCTGGTGGATCAGAGCCTGATCAACCAGGCTGTTGCTGCTGGCTGCACGCAAACCAACGTACGAGCCACAGCCCGGCTGATCAGGAACCGACTAGGTGCTTGTCCAGTGCCAGCTTGAAGACTGCCAGGGGTCTGTTGGTAATCCCCCTTATGTATGCTGGGAGGCAGTTGAACAGTCTCGGGCCCCTGACACTTATTGTATGGTCTCTTAACGTGCTAGTGACACCCCTGCTTTTCATTGGGGGGATGTTGCATCGTCTGCCAAGTCTTTTGCTTTCGTAGTGAGTGATTTTCGTGTGCAAGTTCGGTACTAGTCCCTCTAGGATTTTCCAGGTGTATATAATCATGTATCTTTCCCGCCTGCGTTCCAGGAATACAGGTTCAGGAACCTCAAGCGCTCCCAGTAATTGAGGTGTTTTATCTCCGTTATGCGCACCGTGAAGGTTCTCTGTACATTTTCTAAGTCAGCAATTTCACCTTCCTTGAAAGGTGCTGTTAGTGTGCAGCAATATCCAGCCTAGATAGAACAAGTGACCTGAAGAGTGTCATCATGGGCTTGGCATCCCTCGTTTTGAAGGTTCTCATTATCCATCCTGTCATTTTTCTAGCAGATGCGATTGATACAATGTTATGGTCCTTGAAGGTGAGATCCTCCGACATGTATCACTCCCAGGTCTTTGACGTTGGTGTTTCGCTCTATTTTGGGGCCAGAATTTGTTTTGTACTCTGATGAAGATTTAATTTCCTCGTGTTTACCATATCTGAGTAATTGAAATTTCTCATCGTTGAACTTCATATTGTTTTCTGCAGCCCACTGAAAGATTCGGTTGATGTCCGCCTGGAGCCTTGCAGTGTCTGCAATGGAAGACACTGTCATGCAGATTCGGGTGTCATCTGCAAAGGAAGACACGGTGCTGTGGCTGACATCCTTGTCTATGTCGGATATGAGGATGAGGAACAAGATGGGAGCGAGTACTGTGCCTTGTGGAACAGAGCTTTTCACACCGTAGCTGCCTCGGACTTTACTCTGTTGACGACTACTCTCTGTGTTCTGTTAGTGAGGAAATTATAGATCCATCGACCGACTTTCCCTGTTATCCCTTTAGCACGCATTTTGTGCGCTATTACGCCATGGTCACACTTGTCGAAGGCTTTTGCAAAGTCTGTATATATTACATCTGCATTCTTTTTATCTTCTAGTGCATTTAGGACCTTGTCGTAGTGATCCAATAGTTGAGACAGACAGGAGCGACCTGTTCTAAACCCATGTTGCCCTGGGTTGTGTAACTGATGGGTTTCTAGATGGGTGGTGATCTTTGCTTCTTAGGACCCTTTCAAAGATTTTTATGATATGGAATGTTAGTGCTATCGGTCTGTAGTTCTTTGCTGTTGCTTTACTGCCCCCTTGTGGAGTGGGGCTATGTCTGCTGTTTTTAGTAACTGTGGGACGACCTCGTGTCCATGCTCCCTCTCCATAGGATGGAAAAGGCTCGTGATAGGGGCTTCTTGCAGTTCTTGATGAATACGGAGTTCCATGAGTCTGGCCCTGGGGCAGAGTGCATGGCATGTCATTTATCGCCTGTTCGAAGTCATTTGGCGTCAGGATAACATCGGATAGGCTTGTGTTAACCAAATTTTTGTGGCTCTCTCATAAAAAATTCGTTTTGATCTTCGACTCTCAATCTGGTTAGCGGCTTGCTAAAAACTGAGTCATATTGGGAACTTGAGTAGCTCACTCATTTCCTTGCTGTCATCTGTGTAGGACCCATCTTGTTTAAGTAGGGGCCCAATACTGGATGTTGTTCTCGACTTTGATTTGGCCCTAGGAGAAGAAATACTTTGGGTTTCTTTCGATTTCATTTATGGCTTTTAGTTCTTCCCGCGATTCCTGACTCCTATAAGATTCCTTTAGCTTGAGTTCGATGCTTGCTATTTCTCTGACCAGTGTCTCCCTACGCATTTCAGATATATTGACCTCTTTTAGCCGCTCTGTTATTCTTTTCCGTCGCCTGTAAAGGGAGCGCCTGTCTCTTTCTAATTTTACATCTACTCCTCCTTTTCTTAGAGGAATAAGCCTTGTGCATACATCGAGTGCCACCAAGTTAATCTGTTCTAGGCATACGTTGGGGTCTGTGTTGCTTAGTATATCTTCCCAGCTTATATCGGTTAGGACTTGGTTTACTTGGTCCCACTTTATGTTTTTGTTATTGAAGTTGAATTTGGTGAAGCTCCCTCGTGACTAGTCTCATTATGTCGGTCTGGGGCTCCACGCATACATGTCTGAACCTCAATTATGTTGTGATCTGAGTATATTGTTTTTGACATGGTGACATTTCTTTTCAGATCATCATTGTTAGTGAAGATGAGGTCTAGTGTATTCTCCATTCTAGTAGGCTCTATTATTTGCTGGTTTAAATTGAATTTTGTGCAGAGATTTAAAAGCTCGTGTGAGTGTGAGTTTTCATCAGAGCTGCCTCCTGGTGTTATTACTGCAACAATATTATTTGCTATATTCCTCCATTTTAGGTGCCTTAAGTTGAAATCCCCCAGGAGCAAGATGTTGGGTGCAGGAGCTGGAAGATTTTCCAGACAGTGGTCAATTTTTAACAGCTGTTCCTGGAATTGCTGGGATGTTGCATCCGGAGGCTTGTAGACTACCACAATGACTAGGTTTTGGTTCTCGACCTTTACTGCTAAAACTTCCACTACATCATTTGAGGCATTTAGCAGTTCTGTGCAAACAAGTGACTATGCAATGTACAGGCCAACCCCCCCCCCCCTTTTGCCTGTTCACTCTGTCACATCTGTATAGGTTGTAACCTGGGATCCATATTTCGTTTTCCAAGTGATCCTTTATGTGGGTCTCAGTGAAAGCCGCGAACATTGCCTTTGCCTCTGCAAGCAGTCCACGGATGAAAGGTATTTTGTTGTTTGTTGCTGGCTTTAGACCCTGTATATTTGCAAAGAAGAATGTCATCGGACTTGTGGTATTGTTGGTACTGGGGGGGGGGATTTTTTTTCCGGCATTAGTATCTGTATCTGTTGGTTTGGAGTGGAGGCCATCGACTGTGGTTCCACTCCAGGAATGACTGGATTTGGTGTACGATTTCTGCCATTTCCTGCCAGTTTTTTTTCCTTCCTGTACATGGGTTGTATTACTGCCACATGTAAACTAATGACCAAGTTCCTCCGAGTAGTTGTCGGTAACAATAGCCGACTTTAGCCACAAAAAACATGTCAATAATCATAGACCGTCTCCGGCAGGTGTCAAGTTCTCGGTGGCTTTAGGCAACACCTCAGCTTTCGTCAACAAATTCCAAGCCAAGTTCTTTGATAAGGTGAGATGATACCTTTATGATTTTTTTTTTTTTTTGCCACCCCATACTTTTTTAAGAGTATAGGTTCTACGGTAGTTAGGGTAAGATTTCCTATATTTATCTGACTAGCTAAAAGCTATAATCTTACCTCAGGTATTACTACGCTGTGTCATCTGAGCGGCTAACTCGTTTTGTGTTAAAAGTCAGGCAATAAGCAAGGATGAGATTGTCATTGGAGTGTGTAGGTTGCACTTCTTTAATTAAATCTTTAATAGTTGCTGCATTCTATGGTCATGATGGCAAGTCTTAAAACTGAGGCTGTGTTGAGGAAAATTTGATTTTTTTTTTTTTTTGAGGGGGATTTCGAAAAATAATTGGATAAAAACATCTATGAATTAAATGGGTTTCGCTTTGCCATTTTCCACTTATTTGGTACGGTACTTACTTGTAGTGACCTAATATTATTGCACGAGTTTCAAAAATCTTAAATGGGCTATAAAATCGACCAGAGGGGGCACCTGCACGTGCCAATAGCTGGTTGAATCTTTCCCCTGGTTACTGTAAACTACCACTCAAAATTTGAAACTTATAGGATCAGGCATTCTCAAGTTATAAATGATAAACCATACCACGGGCGGGGATAGAACCTGCGATCAGAGTCTCAGAACTCCAGACAGTCGCGTTAGCCACTGGACCAGCTAGCCACAATAAGATTCGTCCAACTAGGTATATTTCTACACCATAGGAAGGTTAGCATAGGCGGGTTCTATCCCCGCCCGTGGTATGGTTTGTTTGCAATCGTGTCATTACGATTTCGTGAGTCAAGTTATAAATGATAACCCTGGAGAAAACTGTCAACTAATTAAAGGTATTCCTTCGGGGATACTTAATGAGTTTTCAGTCGAGATATGAATGGTCGCTTCAAAAGGGTGCAGCTAGAGTGAAACCACTGATGGCGGCTGCCCGTCTTGTGGTTTAATAAATACCTCTGAAGTTTTTCTAGTTCGGAATCTTGAGCATATAGGCTATTGTACGTATACGTATTAATGTAAGTTTCAGAACAGCCCCTGTTTTATTTTGCATACGCATATTTGTCTACACTGTACGAGGACAGCCACTGCCGCAGTGTGCAGGGGAAGTACCTAACAGCAACGCCTACTGGACTTGCTTAGTTACTCACCTGTCATCCACCTACCTTCACCTGGCTGGCAGTTGCAAGATGGCTCCTCCCTCTGATCCCCTAGGCGTGCTCGACTCCCACCTGAGGTAGGTATACTGGATGCTACGTTACTAGGTGCAGCATGAATTGAAAGAGAAGTTGAGGCTGAAATTGTCGTATTTGTGGGGAAGCGCTAAACCAATAGAGATCATACAGAGCCTGGGAATGAGAAACAATAATTTTAGATCCAAGGAACCGTGAAACAGGTCTAATTTCTTGAATTAAGCGCCTCTCCCCAACATCTAAGAGCTTCCCTTGAGGGCTCGAGGTTGGAATAACAGTCATGTTTCCTTGCAGGGTCCGTGGTGTGTCCGGGGTGCGGGTGGTGGATGCTTCCATGATGCCCACCCCTCTCTCTGGCAACCCCACGGTCCCCATCATTATGATCGCTGAGAAGGCCACCGACATCATCAAACAAGACTGGAACGTTCTCGACTAAATTCCTCCACCACTGCAATGATGATGACAGCTGGAGTTTTCCCACTAACAAAAAAAGGCCTACTCTGTACCACCTCCGCAATATATATCACTGCATATAAATATAACATTCCTCTAAGATTTAACTATCAAGGAATATATCAACATTCACTAACTCTATATATACACATCACTCATGAGTACAAATATAATAGTAGATAATATGCCTACAGTTATGAAGAGTAACTGTAAGAGCTTATATTTAGAGAAGTGAGCCAGCAGCTCTACTCTAAATGACCCTCAAGTGCCCAGAATATTACCTGTCTTATTCGAGCTTCTAAAGCAGTTCATTTCAGGCTATATTAGCATAATATAACACCAGGAGAACCATCAAACATTACTTTAACAGGTATTTCTCATTTTTACATTAAAGTCCTGCTAGTTCAAACGTGCATTGTTGAAACGACTGCAGCTACGCAGGTATTAGATGTAACTGTCAAGATCTAATGGTTCCGAATCACTTTTTTTTATAAAATGTTTCACTAGTTACAACTTGACGGATCGATTAGATCATCTATTTTTTAATTTATAATCATCATAAAACATCTGTGGACTAAAATCACAAGGGTATTAAAAGAGGATAACATCAAAGCTGCTTTCATAGACAACCTGGAAGCTTTCTACAACAGATGGGAACATAAAAAGTCTGGGCAGAATGGTACTGCCCTTGATACTGGCCATGTAGTCACAAACTGTAAGGCTGGAGGTGATGTCCTGGTAGTCAGTAAATGTGGGGCTGATAGTGCTGTCCTGGGAGACAGTAATGGTGAAGCTGGAGGTGCTGTCCTGGGAGACAGTAATGGTGAAGCTGGAGGTGCTGTCCTGGGAGGCAGTAATGGTGAAGCTGGAGATGTTGTCCAGGTAGTCGGGAATTATACGCAGGAAGGAATACATATAAATGACCTCATAGGGACGGGAACCGTAGTGGGGAAACAAGTGTAGTCAAAGATAAGATAAAACCAATATTGCAAACTAGAAATACCACAGGAAATAGCAAACAAGAGGACTCCACTAGCTATAGTGAGGATATATTACCAAAAACAACTGGTGGGAGCTCCATTGTTGGTGCTAGGGAGGATAGGAATAAGACAGGGAAACATGCAAAACAGGGAATACAGTCACAGAAACCCAAGGCAAACGGAAACCAAGCCTGTGCACATACTATGCACTTGGTATCTGCAGACATGGGAAATCTGGAAAAACAGACGGGACGTGCAACTATGACCACCCTAGAAAATGCCATGCCCATATGACAACAGGAAAATGCAAACTCCCTTCCTGTAAGCTTTTTCACCCTGAAATGTGTACCTCTTCAGTACAGGAAAGACTGTGCTATAACTTAAATTGCCAGGCACACCATCTAAAGGGTACAAAAAGATACAAACATCCAGGCCATGGGAAAACCTGGGTAGCCACAGCCACTCAAGAGGGAGAGGTTTTTTAGTGCCAGGAAGGAAAAAAACTGGCAGGAAATGGCAGAAATCGTATACCAAATCCAGTCATTCCTGGAGTGGAACCACAGTCGATGGCCTCCACTCCAAACCAACAGATACAGATACTAATGCCGGAAAAAAAATCCCCCCCCCAGTACCAACAATACCACCAGTCCGATGACATTCTTCTTTGCAAATATACAGGGTCTAAAGCCAGCAACAAACAACAAAATACCTTTCATCCGTGGACTGCTTGCAGAGGCAAAGGCAATGTTCGCGGCTTTCACTGAGACCCACATAAAGGATCACTTGGACAACGAAATATGGATCCCAGGTTACAACCTATACAGATGTGACAGAGTGAACAGGCAAAAGGGGGGGGGGGTTGGCCTGTACATTGCAGAGTCACTTGTTTGCACAGAACTGCTAAATCCCTCAAATGATGTAGTGGAAGTTTTAGCAGTAAAGGTCGAGAACCAAAACCTAGTGATTGTGGTAGTCTACAAGCCTCCGGATGCAACATCCCAGCAATTCCAGGAACAGCTGTTAAAAATTGACCACTGTCTGGAAAATCTTCCAGCTCCTGCACCCAACATCTTGCCCCTGGGGATTTCAACTTAAGGAAACCTAAAATGGAGGAATATACCAAAATAATATTGTTGCAGTAATAACACCAGGAGGCAGCTCTGATGAAAACTCACACTCACACGAGCTTTTAAATCTCTGCACAAAATTCAATTTAAACCAGCAAATAATAGAGCCTACTAGACTGGAGAATACACTAGACTCATCTTCACTAACAATGATGATCTGATAAGAAATGTCACCATATCAAAAACAATATACTCAGATCACAACATAATTGAGGTTCAGACATGTATGCGTGGAGCCCCAGACCGACATAATGAGACTAGTCACGAGGGAGCATTCACCAAATTCAACTTCAATAACAAAAACATAAAGTGGGACCAAGTAAACCAAGTCCTAACCGATATAAGCTGGGAAGATATACTAAGCAACACAGACCCCAACGTATGCCTAGAACAGATTAACTTGGTGGCACTCGATGTATGCACAAGGCTTATTCCTCTAAGAAAAAGGAGAAGTAGATGTAAAATAGAAAGAGACAGGCGCTCTCTTTACAGGAGACGGAAAAGAATAACAGAGCGGCTAAAAGAGGTCAATATATCTGAAATGCGTAGGGAGACACTGGTCAGAGAAATAGCAAGCATCGAACTCAAGCTAAAGGAATCTTCAATTCAATTCAATTCAAAGTTTATTCTCTATATGGATTACAATGCTGAGTTTACAGAAATTTGGTTATTGTTTGGTTTACATGTAGTAAAATTGTGATTACAGAGTGTACCACTAGAACGCTTAGCATGGCTAGGCATTTCGGGCATACTTAGTTTTATTCTTAATTGTAAAATATTACAAATTATGAGGTAAGTTGGTATTATTATTATAGGAGTCAGGAATCGCGGGAAGAACTAAAAGCCATAAATGAAATCGAAAGAAACCCAAAGTATTTCTTCTCCTATGCCAAATCAAAGTCGAGAACAACATCCAGTATTGGGCCCCTACTTAAACAAGATGGGTCCTACACAGATGACAGCAAGGAAATGAGTGAGCTACTCAAGTCCCAATATGACTCAGTTTTTAGCAAGCCACTAACCAGACTGAGAGTCGAAGATCAAAATGAATTTTTTATGAGAGAACCACAAAATTTGGTTAACACAAGCCTATCCGATGTTATCCTGACGCCAAATGACTTCGAACAAGCGATAAATGACATGGGTTTAGAATAGGTCGCTCCTGTCTGTCTCAACTATTGAATCACTACGACAAGGTCCTAAATGCACTAGAAGATAAAAAGAATGCAGATGTAATATATACAGACTTTGCAAAAGCCTTCGACAAGTGTGACCATGGCGTAATAGCGCACAAAATGCGTGCTAAAGGAATAACAGGAAAAGTCGGTCGATGGATCTATAATTTCCTCACTAACAGAACACAGAGAGTAGTCGTCAACAGAGTAAAGTCCGAGGCAGCTACGGTGAAAAGCTCTGTTCCACAAGGCACAGTACTCGCTCCCATCTTGTTCCTCATCCTCATATCCGACATAGATAAGGATGTCAGCCACAGCACCGTGTCTTCCTTTGCAGATGACACCCGAATCTGCATGACAGTGTCTTCCATTGCAGACACTGCAAGGCATCCAGGCGGACATCAACCGAATCTTTCAGTGGGCTGCAGAAAACAATATGAAGTTCAACGATGAGAAATTCAATTACTCAGATATGGTAAACATGAGGAAATTAAATCTTCATCAGAGTACAAAACAAATTTTGGCCACAAAATAGAGCGAAACACCAACGTCAAAGACCTGGGAGTGATCATGTCGGAGGATCTCACCTTCAAGGACCATAACATTGTATCAATCGCATCTGCTAAAAAATGACAGGATGGATAATGAGAACCTTCAAAACTAGGGAGGCCAAGCCCATGATGACACTCTTCAGGTCACTTGTTCTATCTAGCTGGAATATTGCTGCACACTAACAGCACCTTTCAAGGCAGGTGAAATTGCTGACCTAGAAAATGTACAGAGAACCTTCACGGCACGCATAACGGAGATAAAACACCTCAATTACTGGGAGCGCTTGAGGTTCCTGAACCTGTATTCCCCGGAACGCAGGCGGGAGAGATACATAATTATATACACCTGGAAAATTCTAGAGGGACTAGTACCGAACTTGCACACGAAAATCACTCACTACGAAAGCAAAAGACTTGGCAGACGATGCAAAATCCCCCCAATGAAAAGCAGGGGTGTCACTAGCACGTTAAGAGACCATACAATAAGTGCCAGGGGCCCGAGACTGTTCAACTGCCTCCCAGCATACATAAGGGGGATTACCAACAGACCCCTGGCAGTCTTCAAGCTGGCACTGGACAAGCACCTAAAGTCGGTTCCTGACCAGCCGGGCTGTGGCTCGTACGTTGGTTTGCGTGCAGCCAGCAGCAACAGCCTGGTTGATCAGGCTCTGATCCACCAGGAGGCCTGGTCACAGACCGGGCCGCGGGGGCGTTGACCCCCGGAACTCCAGGTAAACTCCAGTTAGGTAAACTAAATGAGAAGATAAATATAAGGCTTAAACTTAGAGTATATATATATATATATATATATATATATATATATATATTATATATATATATATATTATATATATATTTATATATTTATATATATATATATATATATATATATATATATATATATATATATATATATATATATATATATAATATGTATATATATATATATATAATATATATATAATTTTATATATATATATATATTATATATATATATATATATATATATATAATATATATATATATACTGTAAAATATATATATATATATATAATATATACTGTATTATATATATAAAATATATATTATATATATATATATATATATAAATATATAAATATATATATATATATATATATATATATATATATATATATATATATATAAATATATATATATATATGGCCCGATCGCTGAAAAGGTGCTTGCCAACATGCTCAGGGCTGTAACATCAGACAGGGAGACCGCCCGTCTCCAGGCTGTGAGCGCACCTCACTCTGGGGAGTTCCTCCAAACAGTTCCCATATCGGCGATGGGAACGCGCCTCAACTCTAAGACCCTCCTTATTGCAGTGGCTCTGCACCTTGCTACCCTAATTCATACAGAATATACGTGTATTTGCGGCGTAGCGCAAGCCAACCAATATGGTCTAGATGGGTTCAACTCTTCCAAAACCAAGGGCTGGCATGCAAGACACAATGAGGTCAACGACATCATAAAGAGAACCCTTGCTACAGCTTGATACCCAGCCAAAAGGGAGCCCCGATCACTAACAGCCAACAATACCTAGAGCCTAGCAAACCGCCCCGACGGGATCACCATCTATCCTCGGAAGAATGGCAAGCTCTTAGCATGGGACTATACATGTGTGTCCACACTGGCTGACACCTATATCCATCACAGTGTTGAGCGACAGGGAGGAGCTGCTGACCACAGGGAGGAGTACAAGATCAGCAAATACAGGGACATAAGGCAACAGTATCAATTTGTCCCAATGGGATCAGAGACCTTGGGATCATGGGGAAAGCATGCCATATGTTTCCTTAAAGAATTGGGTTCCAGACTCATCAACACCACCAAGGAGTCAAGGGCAGCCACTTTCATGTTCCAGCGCCTCAGCATAGTAGCCATCCAGAGGGGAAATGCTTGCTGCATACTTGGCTCGCGTCTGGCTTCGGAGGAGCTGGAGGAAATTCATAATCTTTAATATATTGTACCACTGTATTCATGTTTGTGTTTTCTGTAAATGTATTCTTTCTATTAATAAATTTTCCCATAGAATATAAAATATAGGGGGTGGTAGGAGAAGAAAATATTCATACAGCTCTGGGGAGAACCTTGAGTTTTCCCTGAGGTACGTTTATTGTCTTCTCTGAGGATGAGGGTCCCCAGTCCAGCTATAGAGGTGGTACCTCCCTCTATTATATTAATATATATATATAAAATATATAAAATATAAAATATATATATATATATAATATATATATATATATATATATGCCCGTGCCGAATATGTAAAACTGGTCAATTACAAGAACTCTTTTAAAATTAAGTCCTTTCTAAAATTTTTCTCTTATACGTTTAAAGATATATTTTTTTCATTAATGTTAATGTTTTTTTTTTTTAAAAATTTGACCAAAAAGAATCTTAAAAACTTACCTAACCTTATTATAACAAGAGCAATTTATTTTAGCCTAACCAAACAAATATATTTTAGATTTGTTTACTGATTATATACACCGGAAAATCCTAGAGGGACTAGTACCGAACTTGGCACACGAAAATCACTCACTACGAAAGCAAAAAGACTTGGCAGACGATGCCCCAAACCCCCCAATGAAAAGCAGGGGTGTCACTAGCACGTTAAGAGACCATACAATAAGTGGTCAGGGGCCCGAGACTGTTCAACTGCCTCCCAGCACACATAAGGGGGATTACCAACAGACCCCGGGCAGTCTTCAAGCTGGCACTGGACAAGCACCTAAAGTCATTTCCTGATCAGCCGGGCTGTGGCTCGTACGTTGGTTTGCGTGCAGCCAGCAGCAACAGCCTGGTTGATCAGGCGCTGATCCACCGGGAGGCCTGGTCACAGACCGGGCCGCGGGGAAATTGACCCCGAAACTCTCTCCAGGTAAACACTGATTTAATACTGAACAAACACATTGAAAAAATATTTTTTCGTTAAGTTCGAATGATTTTTGCGAAATTATTGCATACCCCAAATTTCGCTTGTCCTTATATGGCAAGATGAGCGTTGCTATTTAAGCCAAGATTGTTTAAAAATAGCAACGTTCATCTTGCCATATAGAACAAGTGAAAATTTGTGTATGCAATAATTTC